CTTTCTTTCTTTCTTTCTTTCTTTCTTTCTTTCTTTCTCTCTCTCTCTCTCTTTCTCTCTCTCTCTTTCTCTCTCTCTCCCTCCCCCCCTTTTAATTTTGGTTTAAAGGTTGCAACTAATTTTATTTATGGGGCTTATTTACACCCTGCTCTCCAGCCCCTGCCGCTTTGTTTTTTTCCTTCCTGCATTTTTAAAAAAAAAACATTTTTCTGCCCTTCAGTTTCTTTAGAGCGATTTCATCAAATTCCCACTGTGGGAGATTTTCTTCCTACTCTTTCCTCGGCTCAAAATTTTGCTGCATTCCTTGTTTCTTCTGTCCCTATTCATGGGTGGTGGTGAAGGAATAGATTGCAGTATATTACTCCCCTACTCCTACATCCACTCTGTTTTCTTCTTCCCTCTCAACGTTTCAGTGAGATACTCAGAATTATTTTCTTATCCCATGTACTGCAAAATGGGATTCTGTGCACACTTCAGCTTGCTGGAGTCTCTCTCCATCTTGTGTTTTCAAGCAGCTTATTTTCTCTCTCCTCCAGTATTTCGGCAGCTTTATCATTGTCTTTCCTTGTTTCTCTGGGATTCTTGACTCCCTCCCTTGCGGCTACACGCTATGAGATTCTCTATACATTTTACTTCAGTCTGCAGTAATGTTTGCTTTGAATTATGTCCTTGTTACCAGATGCTTCTATTACTTCATATTAAAGCATCATTCCCCTCTTAGTTCTTTTACTTACTTTTACTGTTTACTTTGCATGCTTCCTTATTTTTTAATTGCAGTTGTTTCCCATCAAATTGCTATCATTGGCACTCCCATTAGCTTTTAAGGTGCCACATGAGCTTGTAGGGGATGATCTGTACCATATTAGACTTAGTCACCCTGGAATTAATTTCTGCTGCTACATTTTCTGCCTTCTGCACATAATGTTACCCTTGATTGTCACTTTTTAAACAAGTTCTTGGTTGTTTATGGTATTTTCTTATCATCTTTGTTCATGAGAATAATGGTTCTTTTATTTTGAATGCAGTATTCTACTTTTGTCTCCATTGCTACCTCCTGTTGTCTTCCATTTTTGAAGTCCGCTACTTATCTCTACGCATGACAAATTTAGACTCTTCCACTGCTTACAACTTGGTCCTCCAATTTTTTTCTGCTATGTTCTCTGCTTTTGTACTCGCCCCCCAACTCCTCCTAAGATGTCATTGTTACCATTACTTTCTTTTGCTCCCCACAGTGTTGTCTTTCATGCCAGCTTCCTTCTAATTTTGCTGTTTTTTTCCCCCTTGGTGTACTCATCTCTTAAAGAGATGATCTCTTACCACTTTCTGCTTTGCAGTTCTAGGTTTACTGCTTTGTCTTCCTTTCCCCTTTTTATAAACATGTATCAAGATGCTTCATTGTATCTTCTTATCCTTTCTTTTAAAAACAGTCACTTTATCTACTCAGTTGTCTTTTGTTCTGCTCTCTTATATTATCCTCTTTAGCCTTTAACCTATTTTTCCTCTCTGCTAATCTGCCACATTAAAGCATTTGTTTTCCTGTTTCTTTTTGCTGCAACTCTGGGAAATGCTACATACATGTCTATTTTAAATTATTTTATGTGATTGTTTGCTTGATAACTTGATAACATTTTCAACTTAAGAACAGACAATATTCAGAGGCAGTCATTTTAGGAAATATAGCTGAAGTTATTCCTTAGATACAGATTATAGTCTGTTTTGACAATTCAGAGAAGTGACGCTGTTTACTGAAACCAAATTAAAATTAATATTGGGACAGAAGTGATTTTATGATGGTGGAGATGATGGATAGGGTAGTTTGAAAGAAAACACATTCAGGTTTTTTTGCTTGAGCTTAAAAAAAATACTTGCTCAAGAGAAAATTCCAGAGATTGTTCTCATCAAATTTGGACTTACTAAGTGATAAAGCCTGTCCAAGTTAAGCTTGATTTCTTTACAAAAAGGACTGCTAAGAACTATTAAGGATTCTAGAAAATAAAATAAAAATGATGGTAGGTAGCTTGCAAGTTGAGTCATTTGGAAGCATCAATTTTCTCTAAGGAATGCTGCATACCAGATTACTTTGTCTTTAAATCTACAAGCCAGATGAGAAGCTAGGTTATAATACATTTTCCTTTTTTAGCTTGAAACTGTATACTAATTACAATACCTCTTCTCTTTCCTGAAGGTAAAATAATACCCTACAAATTATGAGTTTGCGTCATTTGCCCACTTAGTTTTCTGTTCTTTTTAAAATGCAAAGCATGACTCCAGTTTGAAAACATGAATTGGAGGAATAAATCTGAGGTGAATGCACTGCAGTCTTTCTTTTCTAAAAGCAAAAGTCTTCCAAGTACAAGATGAGTCATTTGCTTAGGTGCCCAGTCTCTGGAAACGGGCTTAGAACATGATCTTGAAAACAAAATTTGTTTGATCTTGTAACCCATACAAAGTTTGTGTGTCTTAACTACCTGCAGTAGGCATGAAATGTTCTATTATTAACAATTCTGAAGTATATGTATAGTTCAGAAGAGTAATTATTTGATAAATTCTGAATTTTGTTAATCTCTATAGAGAACATTGCATGAATTAGGAAGTAATGGCTATCCTTTCTGAATCCTTGGTGGAATTTTTTTTAAAAAAATAACCACTTATTTGACAGAATGTGGGTTGTGGTGGGCTACAATGGTGCTCTTCTGGAAAATATTGACAAACCTTGTTTTGAAAAGCTATAATAGATAGAAATGTTGCATTTTTTTCATTCTCCACTACAGTAAATGGGTAAAAATGTTAGAATCAGTTCTTAAAAGTCATCTTCAGATCATTGGGTTTAAAATTACAAACTCTATTAATCATTATGCCTCCTTATACTTTGTATAGTTTTTGGTAGTTAAAGAAATATATTTCTGGATTATAACAGAATTAACGTGTTTTAAAACAGTATTTAAGTTGCCTAGAAAGTTCAGGCTGCATGTTAATAAGACATGTGTCTAATAGCTCATTCAAGATATGATTCACTAATGCTAATTAGCTACTCTGACATCAAAATACAATGCAGAAAACTTTGCCTCTAGCTACAGAAGTTTGTAGTGCCAAATATTTCTACTCTAGGTCATGAAACAGGATTTTGTTTTATTATAAAATTCTCATTCATAAAATAAAAATCCAAGAAGTATGGAATATATATATAAATACACCAAATAAATCATGCCTTTTAATTTAGATAGGTTTAGCTTTACAAGAGAGGGCAGGACACAAAGGAATATTTATACTTCAAACATATTAAATGCATTTATTTACAGATTAATTCTTAAGATGTCCTTATAGGGCATAACATAAAGGTCAACAAGATTTTTAGAATTGGTTACATGTTAACAATTTTCCGTTTTAGGAAGCAAGAGCTGTCCAAATAATGCCTGCCTGCCATTAGACAAAATAAACTGGCAACTTCAGGCAATAGGGTTGTAGTACATGAATGACAGCAATTTTTATTGTAATGTTTCAGTTTCATGTGCAAAATAACTTATCCAGTTCTTAGTATACTGAATAAATTGGAGTAAAAGGGTGGCATCTTTGACTGTAACTCAAACTAGTCTAAGAGGGATCAATTTGGGATTGGGTCAATGTGCATATAACCTTTATAATGGAAGGTATCAATATGAGTTATGACATTAGTAAAGATTTGAGGCAAACATACAACACACACAAGAGCCTACAAATGGCTCTTTGAACCTTGCTCGTGTGTGTGTGTGTGTGTGTGTGTGTGTGTGTGTGTGTGTATAATGCCCCTTTATTTTCTGCTATATATTTTCTACTTATATAAGTATGTATATGTGTGTGTATGCATGTACCCTGTTTCCCTGAAAATAAGACTTCCCCGGATAATAAACCCAATTGGGCTTTTGAGCGCATGTGCTAAAATAAGCCCTCCCTGAAAACATTGCAACACAGCAGCAGCCATGAGGTGACCACGCTCACCGCCTCCTGCACCTCAAAAATAATCAGACCTCCCCGAAAATAAGGCCAAGTGCTTATTTCAGGGCTCAAAAGAAAATAAGACCCTGTCTTATTTTGGGGAAAACACGGGGTGTGTGTGTGTGTGTGTGTGTGTGTGTGTGTGTGTATGTATGTANGTGTGTGTGTGTGTGTGTGTGTGTGTGTGTGTGTATGTATGTATGTATGTATATTTATATATAAGAAAATAAAGGGGCTTACAATCTTAGTTTACTTTTCAGCATTGTGTTTGGCTGTATTGGTTTTATTGCTCATAAAGCTAGTTGCAGGAATCATTTAGGTGAAATCCTCATGGAAAGTAGAACCTTGTGTTGGGGTCATTCTCTGGTCACCATTCACCATTCATGCTATAAAATACACTTGTTTTTTGAAATGCAGGCTATGCTTGCAGATCTTGTTATTTTTCTAAGGCAACAATGATCTGTGTAGCAAGAATAGGTTTTGAGAGTTCAGTATAGGGCCTATTCTGACAGCTACTTGCACTTAAAAGGATAAAACAGCTTACAGACATCTCTCCCATCTCTAGTATTTTAACAGTACTGGTGTTGGCGGAATTAAAATTAAGTAGTATATAGCAACAATAGCCAAATAAAAGCATCTGGACATTTTGATCCCAATACAGGGGAAATATCTTTGCATAGACAAACCTGTTTTCAGCTGTCCTGGGTCCTGGCTAGAAATGCTTTCTCATTTCCACATCTCTGTTCTCATGCACAAATGTTGTAAGACAAAAGACAGAAGACTAGTCAGAAAAGCTGAAGAGCAAAATCACTCAATTGCCATTTCCTGTCTTATAGTGTGGGTAATAGATTGTGGAAGCTTGGCAAATCATGTTATGGATCACCAGCTGGTCTTTTCGTGTCTAAAAAGCATGAGCTATTTGACTTAGTTCAGACTATTCAAGTGGAAAAAATCCTGTTGAAATGCAACTCATGAGAGAGTTGCACGTTGTAGGCTGGGGCTGGGATCCAAAGAACTCTTAAGTAGCTTGCCGGGGGTGGGGCATTCAATCAGTTTTTGTCAGACAAAAGCCTTCTGTGTTTCATGATAAACTGCTTTTGAAATGGAGTGTTTCAAAACTAACTTGTGATGATGCATATAGTGCAAGACTCTGGGAGAGCTTTAGCAAGTCTTCAGCCTGGTTTTCTGCATGAAGCATACAGTACCGTAACCTATTAACTTTAAGGAAACTTATAAGCTACTTGTAAATATTTGTGAAAATCTTTGTTTCTCTAGCTGTGGTTACAACCAGGCTGTTTCATGGATTTGTTATAGAAGCTAAAGCCTATCATTGTGCTATTCTTTCTTATGTATTCACAATCTAATAAAGTAAACTGGGTATTTATAATTCTATTCGTACCTTGTAGTTAACCAAATAGTCTGTCATTAAGATAGAGATCATGTAATATGTTGAATATCGTGAAATACACCCAGTCATTACCTCAAAAATTGCTCCCCTCAGGGAATCAAAAGATGGGTTGCTGTAATGAGCACCTTACCACATCCCTTTGTGATGAGCTCCTGTGTTTAGAAAATAAGTGGCTTATTGGGGAAATCACTGCGGGTAAAATTAGGTAACTAGTATCATCTGGGGTTCTTTGGCTGAGGATTGGTTTTTATTTTAAATAGAAAAAAAGGAGATTCCTCCATGGTTTTGTTTATAAGTGAAAATTGTTATTTTTTTAAGTTGCCAAGAGTATAATTTATAAATGCTCTCACTTAAGAAAGCAGATGTGAGATTTAATAGTTTTCAGACTATCTTTCTGAGAACACTTGAGTTACTAAGAATGTCTATGTCTTTCCCCACAAAGTGCAGATTTGTACCATAACTCATTGTCTCAAACTAAATAGAAAGACAAATAGAATTGGGGTGTCTATACTCGGATTAAGACATAAAATGGGAATAGAATAAAAATAACAAAAGACAGGAATATTCAGTTTTGAGTCTCTGGACTGCTTTCCATGACCTTCAGAATAGCTTTTAAGCCCTTTTTTTTAAAAAATTGTAATCTGGCTCCCATCAGGTAACACATACTATAGTGTAATCCTCAAATACCTTTATTATAATATTTTTTAAAAGATACTATTTTTCTGAAATCTACAGAAAAGAGTAAAAATCTAGCTGTGTCTCAATACAGCAAGGATTTCTTCCAGTTTATTATCACTCCATCTGCCATCTTCAACCTTCTGAAGACATTGCCCTCAGATAAAAAACTGCCTACTTAACTACATAAAAACTCTTGAAATTTTGATGAAGCAGAAAAAGTTCTGAATTTTATGGGAGAAGGAATTGAAAAATGTGCAGTACTTCTATTCATAACGATAGATTCGTAAACATGTTTGGTGTTGAAATACAATAATTATAAATGTTATTGATTGAACTTGCTTTAAAGTAATTTAATTATAAGTAAATTACAGCTTCTGAACTCTAGCAACAGATTTTGTTTTTGCTTGCTAAGAAGAAGCAAGACAGTCAAAAAAGTTAACATCAAAGACAAAAAAAACCCCACCCAGCTGTGGTAAAACAAAGAATTCTGTGTACTCTAAACTTTGTATCCTCAACCATTTAAATATGAGCCAGCAGTGTGCAGCAGCTGCCAAAAAAGCCAACACAGTTCTAGGCTGCATTAACAGAGATAGAATCAAGATCACGTGAAGTGTTAATACCACTTTATAAGGCCTTGGTGAGGCCACACTTGGAATACTGCATTCAGTTTTGGTCACCACGATGTAGAAAAGATGAGACTCTAGAAAGAGTGCAGAGAAGAGCAACAAAGATGATTGGGACGAGACTAAAACATGAAGAACGGTTACAGGAACTGGGTATGTCCAGTTTAATGAAAAGAAGGACCAGGGAGACATGATAGCAGTCTTCCAATATCTCAGAGGTTGCCACAAAGAAGAGAGAGTCAAACTATTCTCCAAGGCACCTGAGGGTAGAACAAGAAACAATGGGTGGAAACTAATCAAGGAGAGAAGCAACTTAGAACTGATGAGAAATATCCTGACAGAACAATTAATCAGTGGAACAACTTGCCTCCAGAAATTGTGAATGCCCCAACACTGGAAGTCTTTAAGAAGATGTTGGATAGCCATTTGTCTGGAACGGTATAGGGGTCAACCTAAGCAGGGGGTTGGATTAGAAAACCTCCAAGGTCCCTTCCAACTCTGTTATTGTATTAAGTACAAAAAGCACTGATTTGTCAGAAGATGAAAAAAATTCAGGAGTCAAAATTCAGAATACAGATTTTGTCTAATCGGTCTCATTTTCTGAATCTGAAGTACTATTATTGAAAACAGTTTTTACTTTATTATGGACTCCTGAAAATTAGTTTCTGTATCATTTCATGTGTTAATCTTGGTATAAATATCTCCAAACATAGTTTGCATTTTATCAATTTTCATTTAAAATGAAAACATTCGCACGTGAGTTGTATTTTTCTTTCTTCAATATTTTTTGAGAAGAAAAAAGATCATGGGATCTTTTTCTGGCCTACTACATCGTTGATGGTCAACAATGAGTTCTAAGTGTTTTTGAGTGTAGGAGTTGTGGAACACCAGAATATCTTGACCTTCATAATGTTTAGCAAATGTCATATATTTTTTAAAAGTTCATTTTATATTTCCCTGTAATCTATATTCACTACAGAACATAGCTAGTTCTGTTGACTATGGAGCATTTTGTCTTCATTAAATCAGTGGAAGATGGGCTTCTGAAAAGTTATATTCACATTTTTCCTAAAAATAGAAAAGGTTGGATTCTGCTGGATTTCCCAAGGGAGATAATTTTATGAAAAGGTGTGCACAAACTGTTGGCTGTCTGTACTAAAGGTTGTGTATATTAGAACAAGATTCATTTGTTAAACGGTATTGTTCATAACTGAAATAAATCTGAAAGTACATTAGCTAAGCTTGAAGATGTCGACGTGGGTTTCAGCGGAGGTCATCTAAAGAGTTGCTTGATTTTGCTGAGCACTTTTTATTTACAGGTATTTCATGACTTACAACCACAATTGAGCCCAAAATTTATGTTGTTAAGTGAGATATTTGTTAAGTTAGCTTTGCCCTATTTTATGACCTTGCCACAGTTGTTAAATGAATCACTGCAGTTGAGAAGTGAATCTGGCTTCCCCATTGACTTTGCTTGTCAGGAGGTCGCAAAAGGGGATCACATGATCTTGGGACACAGCAATAGTCATAAGTATGAACCAGTTGCTAAGCATCTGAAATTTGATCACATGATTATGGGGATGCTACATAACTGAAAAATGGTCATGTCATTTTTATCCCCATTGTCATAACTTTGAACAATCACTAAATGACTGTGATATGTTGGGATCTGGAGGAAGGAAATGTGTCCTGCTAATAGTTTTTGTGGCTTTTGATACAGCCGACGATTGTGTCTTATAGGACTGCCTACACGGTGTAGGGAAAGAATCTTTGTCTGGTACTTGTTCCATTCTCTCCTTAGTGGGTGGTTTTAGTATGTAAAAGAAGGGAATGAGAGATCAGCCGAGTGGCCCCTAATTTTTGGGATGCTGCAGGAATAAGTTCTTTACTCCTTGCTTTTTAACAAGAAGCTATTGGATGAAATCATACAGCAATTCAAGATATGATAATATCAGTATCCTTGTGATGCTCAACAGTATAACAGATGCTGTTGTGATGATGCCTGGAAGCTCTAAGATTCAGTTGGAAGAGGAAAGGTTGAAACTGAATTTGGATATGATAAGGTTATTTATCCATTGGAATTCTCTGTTGCTACAATTCAGGAGTCCTTCTGGACTTATGGTTCCTGATTCATCAAGTGGAGGTATTGCCAGAGAAGCCTATATCTAGGTCCAGCTGGTGCACCAATTGTAATTGCCCCTGGGTAAGAGGACCTGGCCACAATAACTCACACTTTCATCACTACCCAACTTGACTGTTACAATGCACTTTTCATGGGGCTGCCTTTAAAGAGCGCTTGGAAGCTGCAGCTAGCCCAGAATGCTGGAGTCCTCATGCTTACTGGTGCTCACTTCTATTAACAGTGATTTTTTGGGTCCTGCATAAGCTACGGAATAGTTTTCTAGGTACAATTCAAGGTGCTGATGTTGTTCTATAAGGGCTAGCATCTGATTACCTCAGCTCCAAAGAGAAAGCTGGGAAGAAACATTTTGTAATCCTAGCTTTCCAAGAGATTTGTGTGGTTGAGATGAGTGACACTGCTTTTATATGGCAGCACTGGAGCTTTGGAACAAGGGGAGGACAGGCAGGCCACCTTTTTTTTCGTTGGCTTTCTGGAAACTTAAAAACAGTTGTTACAGAAGCCTTACCTGATGCCATCTTTTTGTTTTATTTTCTGTTTATTGTTATTTTCTTTCTCATCTTGTTATTGCTATCTTTATTTTGATTGCATTTAACCTCCTCATGGATATTTTAACTTTGTCTTATGTAGCCTGAAGGCTACCGAAAATTTGATTTTGGTGGAGTAGATGATGGATGGCTAGAGTGGAGCGCTAATACAGTACGTGCAAAAGTTTACTTTGATCATTCTTGGTTTCTAGTTAGAAATTTCTTTTTAAAAAATGAAGGTGTAATTTGTATGGTAAACACTTGAATGTAAGAATTTAGAATTTAAGTGCCTTCAGTTTCTTTTTAAGTCAGAGTTATATGTTGAATCTGTGTTTGTAGATTGCTAAGTTGTGTGTTTTTGCTGCTGATCAACTGCACATTGCATCCCCCACTTCTGAAAGTATGAATGTTTGGTTTCAGGCGCATGAAGCATCGCATCACCAGCAGCAAGCAGCACAAAATAGTTTGCTGCCTCTCCTGAGCTCAGCTGTTGAACCTCCTGACCAGAAGCCCATTTTACCCTTGCCGATAACACAGAAACCTCAACCCCCACCCGAAACACTAAAAGATGCCATTGTTGGGATTAAAAAGGAGAAGCCGAAAACCTCCTTCGTATGTACATACTGCAGCAAGGCCTTCAGGGACAGCTACCATTTGCGGCGCCACGAATCCTGTCATACTGGGATAAAGCTGGTGTCACGGCCAAAGAAAGCCCCTGCCACAATGGTGCCCCTAATCTCCACCATTGCAGGGGACAACAGCCGGACATCGCTGGTTTCCACCATCGCAGGCATCCTATCAACAGTCACGACGTCTTCCTCCGCTACCAACCCAAGCAGTAGTGCCGGTGCCACAGCCATGCCAGGGACACAGACTGTGAAGAAGCCCAGCAAGCCCGTGAAAAAGAACCATGCCTGTGAGATGTGCGGCAAGGCATTCCGGGATGTCTATCACCTAAACAGACACAAGCTGTCCCACTCGGATGAGAAGCCTTTTGAGTGCCCAATTTGCAATCAGCGCTTCAAAAGGAAGGACCGCATGACCTATCACGTGAGGTCTCATGAGGGTGGCATCACCAAACCGTACACCTGTGGTGTTTGTGGAAAAGGCTTTTCGAGGTACCATGTAGAAAATCCCAGGCGAGCTCAAGTATTGGATTTTCATTCCGCGATCGCGATGGGTGGGAGGGTGGGAGGAATTAGAATAGGAAAGTAAGAAATGGGGATGGGGGGATGGAGTTGGGGAAGAGGACACCAGGAGAAGTATATTTGCATTTAAATCTGCAGTCAGCCTTTGCTAATGGTGGGAAATAACTGCTTGTTTAAAATTCAAAATTAAATTATGTAGCTGGCCTTTGGCTTGTAGTGAAGGCATAAGGACTTTTTTTAGCACTTTTTGTTAAGCATTACTATATATGTAAGGCATTAATTTAGCAGTGTTGTTGAGTCAAACAGCCTCCATTTTGCTTGGACAATCTCCCATTTTAAATGGCTAACAGCCCTTAAGATAATTTTTATCAATTTAGATTTTTCAGGGGAGGTTTACAATAATTACAGGAAACTCCCATGTGTAGCTGAAGCTTTGTGATATTATGAAGATTTTTGCAGAAGAGATAAGATCATAGGTTTGTGTAACTTGGAAATTTCTCTTGGGCAGGATGTTGGATTGAATAATTGATTAATTCTGTTTTTGTGTAACAATTTGCTTTCTTGTGTCTACTTTCCTTCTTTTTCCACAGACCTGATCACTTAAGTTGTCATGTCAAGCATGTTCACTCTACAGAGAGACCTTTCAAATGCCAAGTAAGATTTTTTTTTTATTGATCTGTATTGCTTAGCTTATTAAGACACCCAAATGGACTCTAGTAAACTCTGAAGTTAGACATCATTCAATAAAAGTGAAGGTTCAGAGCCAAGTATTAATATTAGCCCCCATTATGACCCTTGGACAGTACATAGCTAATCTATAAAAGGTAAAGAGTGGGTTGGGCCTTATTAATATGGTCAGACACCAGCAGGAAATACTAGAATCATAGGCAACTCTGGAAAGCCAATAAAAGTCAGGAAAGAAAGACAGGGGTCAAATGCTTCTGCTGATAAGGAAATTGCAGTAAGTGAGCTTGGTTCAGAAGACTATCCATTAAAAAATACATTGGAAGTTAATAAAGGCCCCAGCCTGGGCATTATCCCCATGAACTTGATTAAGTAAGAATCAGAAGGAGTTATTGGGAATAGGTTAAAAAAATTATGAGACCAGAGGAAGTCACACGTGAACTGTGACTGATGCTTACTAAGCCAGCTGAAGCTTTACAAAATAATTGCAAGTTTTACAGTTTAAAAAAACCTCTTCATTAGTAAGTTATTAAAATTGAACACCCCTCCAAAGAAGAATGATGGTAGAAAATATTTATGAATGTGGCAGGTCCATTCTAAAATGGAGTGAAAGATCCTCCAAAGTTTGCAAAATGGGTTACCTCAGGCCAGAGATGGAGTTTGGCTGCATTCTCCTGGAGTTACTAGTACTCCATCCTGGAGATTTTTAAAAAAAGATTGGATATCCATTTGTCTGGGATGGAATAAGTTCTCCTGACTTGAGCAAGGGGTTGGACTAGAAGACCTCCAAGGTCCCTTGATTCTATGCCTCAAGAAAAAGAAATAAGCAGGTAATTGGTTACACCCTATTCTTGGAAATACAAAACCTAGGTGATTATGTCAGGACTATTTTCATCCTATCCAGTGTGCATGTATTTTGGTTATAATAATGAGACTTGTTTCTATCAGTGCATTTTGAAAGGCACCTGACTGGGGAAAGCTGAAGCACAACAATGATTAGCACACAAATAAAGTAAACTGCAACAATAAAGTATATCTAAAATCTGCTTTACAGTATATGGAGTATTTGTGAATAATGAGCTGTAGTAATGACATCTAAAATAACTAAGTAAATAATAATAATAAAGTTTTCATGTAGAAATAGAATTCTGTGGGTACACGGTAAGCCTGTGCCCCATTCAGAAATACAGCCTTCCTTGCAGCCACTACTCTAGACTTCATTCACTGAAGTACCAGGAGAAGGGCCTCAGAGCTTTACACAAAAGAAGATGAACACAGTTTCTCTTCATAGCTTGCAGTGAGGAAATCTGGTGGGATATAGGGATGTGTAGGGGAAGGCCTTCTATGTTCCTAACTGTTTCAAACCCATGCATGTTCCAGTGAAAACCTGAAGAGGGTTCTGTTTTTATATCCTTTACCTTTAGAATAGACTGCCCATTCCCAAAGCCTTTGAACAACTAACAATCAGAAACATTGCCTCAGTTTAAAACACCCCCCCCCCTCAAAAATAATATGTAAAACCACATGTAATAAAATTGTAAATAATGACAGTAGTAGAAGTTTCAGAAAAATAGAAAGTCTTTTGATGGAAGTTTCATTTCAGATACCATAGTGTGGCTGCTACCAGATAATTTCAGTAGCTTTTGTATCAAGCCAAACAATTCTGGACTTAATAGTGACAATCTGTTTTAGTTGTAGAGTCTTACTAGGACCTAAAGAAGGGTCCATAACTATTGACTGGAGGCCAGAATTATTTTTAGGTGTACAGTAGGGGTAGGCGATCAGTGGCCCTTGGAAGTTTCCCCTTCAATGCCTGAGGGCTAGTGGACTTCACAGTAATTTTGAAGGTGAAAATGCACAAAAGGAGGGAAGTAACTTAGAACTAAGGAGAAATTTCCTGACAGTTAGAACAATTAATCAGTGGAATGGCTTGCCTCCAGAAGTTGCTAATGCTCCAAAACTGGAAGTTTTCAAGAAGAGGTTGGATAACCATTTGTCTGAAGTGGTGTAGGGTTGGACTAGAAGACCTCCAAGATCCTTTCCAATTCTGTTAGTCTATTCTAGTTTGTATTCTATATTCTGCTCTGCTCTGCTCTAATTCAGGGCTCTGCCTATCTTACTTTGCCACCTGGTCCACTGTGGCTTCTCTTTTAAAAAGTAAAGAGTTCTCTGGTTACCAAAAGAGTGCCTATCTGTTGGTTTGTTATTTTTCCTTTGCCTGGCTTGTCATTTTGCCTCTAATGTCAGACTCTGCACTTGTTTAGGCAGGCTAGCATTTTTTAATGTGGGCTAATAATGTACAAAGTTATTTTTTTTTAAAAAAATTATTCCACTTCTGTTTAGCTTTATAATTGTGTTTCTAAGCTGGTTCCTGATGACTCATTTTGGCCATTAAATGGTTTGATTTAAAAGAAAGGGTGATTCATGACTTTCAATCTGTTTTTGGATTTTTTAAATGTAACTGAATAATGGAAAAGAAAATCTTGTCCAGGGGCATTATCAGGAGATTGTTATGGGAGATTACCTTGATCTGCTAGGATATATAAAAACACCCTGTCAACCTGATTAGTGTACTTGTCTTTGCTTTAAGGAAGGAAGGTTCTCTTTATACCTGAGTAATATTCAGCTCTTACACATAGTTTATTTAATCCCAACATCTAAAAATATGCTGCTATGTCTTAGTATGGTCAATTTAATTTTATCTGGCTATATGTGCATTGAAGGTGGTCAGAGTAGTTTAAATAGTATTGCTAATGGCTCTTCATCCGTTAGGTAAGGACAGTTGACATCTGGGTTTATTTTGTCTTATCTTTGTTTTTTTGTTTCTTTTACACTTACTTATTTTATGTGTTTTAACAATTTGTAAATTGTTAAATTGAGTTGCTGGGAGTTATGTGATACATCAATTTATTATAATAATTATTTGCGGTGTGAGAATTAAAGCATTTTTGTATTTATTTTAATTAAGTAAGGTTCGTGTAATGTTATAGTCCAGTACTTCCAGATCAAAAACTTTGTTCTGCTAAGACCACTTAATCATGATTCTTCCTGACCCTCTATACATACACAAAATATTTTTCCTGTGTACTACTAGAGTCCAAATTTAGGTTTGCTAGTTTATAGTTTGTAAAAGTTGTATGGAGTGAGAGGCATTATTATTGTGGGAGCAATACACCTACTTGTTTAATTATGTCATATTCATGTACTTATTGGGGTGCATTAAATGCAGAGTTTTTAATGGAATGGCACTACATTCCTCTGCAGAGATTTCTTGTGGGGAATTCAAGGTATTTATCATGCACTTACAATTAACTATTAAAGGTAGTGTTCAGTAAATGAGAATTCTGCTTTAGAACTTCTGTTTCTTTCTGTGTAGACCTGCACAGCTGCCTTTGCTACCAAAGACAGGCTGCGGACTCACATGGTGCGCCACGAAGGAAAAGTGTCATGTAATATCTGTGGTAAACTTCTGAGTGCAGCATATATTACCAGCCACTTAAAGACTCATGGGCAGAGCCAAAGTATCAATTGTAATACCTGTAAACAAGGCATCAATAAAAGTAAGTGGCTACCTTTTTAACAAAAACTGTTTTGCCCTCCAATGTAGCACATGCAATTGTTGGGTGGGTGGGTGGGTGGGAGGGGGACCCTGATGATTTAGGTCATATAAGATGGGACTGGTATCTTTGGTTCACTTTGGTTCCTTTCTGAAGTCTTCCATTTCCTTCAATCCCTAAACTAGAAGCCCAAATGTGATCATACTACAGATAGTCCTTAATTTACAACCATTTATTTAGCAACAATTTGAAGTCACAGCAGCCTCAGAAAAAAGTGACTTACAACCTGCCCTCAAAGTTATGACTGTTGCACAGTCAGGTGAATACCATTTGAGTGCTTGGCAACTGGCTCACATTTACAATGGTTGCAGTGTCTTATGGTCGTGTGATCACAGTTTGCAACCTTCCCATCTGGCTTCTGACAAAAAAAACAGAAAAGCTCGATTTGCTTAAGGACTACATGATGTGCTGAATGAACTCCACATGGTTGTAAATTCAGTCCAGTCATGTAATGACTTGCTTAATGACCACATCAATTAGCACCAAAGTTCCCATCCCAACTGTGGTTGTAAGTCGAGGACTATCTGTATAAGCAAACAAAATAGTAAGCGGTGGCAAATACAACAAGAAGATCTATGGATGCATTTACCATGGGTTCTCCTAAAAGTAGATTAGAATTATATTCAAAATTTGCAGAATTCTAGCCTATGTTTGTAAACAGTTAACTAGATTGTGTATTGATTTTGCTTAGTGTTTAGTCAGGCATTCTCTGAAGGTTAGGTTTTTTGTGAATTAGAATGAGTTCTGGCTGCTGAATGCAATAGAATGAGACAGTAAAGAGATGAGGCAGTACAATAGTCTGTGTACCTAAAGGAACATGTTTTTTTTTAGCTGTTCTGCAACTACAATTATGGCAAAGGAATCCACCTACAATAGAATATTTTTTCTTGTATGCTAGCTTTTTTCCAGTTATAGAACATGTCAAAAGACATCTGCCACCTGCTGCCTAAGTCTTTCCTACAAGACGTGTCTGCCAGCTGTGTCATCCTCTTCTTGTGCTTATGCAGATCACGTTTGATGAAAGCATCTGTGTAAATGGATACTTTTTGGCTCATATCTCAGCCCTATTTCCATGGTTGCCCAAACATAGATGAAACAATATAAATTTATGCTTAAGAAAAATGCAACTGTTTACATATTAAGTCAATATTAAGGAATCTATGTAATCAAAAGTTCATGTGAAGGGTTTTGAACTATCCCTTCCCAAAACTGCCATTCCTCTCCTAAGTTTTTCAGATCTTGGTTCCAAATATCTTTTGTTCCTGCAACAATCCAGGGAAGGTAAGTTAGGCTGAATCAATTTCATGAGCTTCATGGCTTGACTGGAATTTCAGGTTCTCCATATCTAAAATATAAGTTGTATCTTATTACTCAGACTTAGTACAATAAATTAAACAGAGCTGTTTCATTCACATTGCAGAATTTGGTTTTTTCAAGCAAGAAAATCTACATCTTCCTGCGTGTGAGTAGTCATGGTTTAAATTTGATATGTTTTAGTATGCTGATTAATACTAAAGTAATTGCAAGATTGATAACATATTTAAAGATTGTTTGCATTCCATTTTCTGTTGAATAATATTAGCTTTTATGGTGGAAACTTCCTATTACCTCCCATTTGTTTGTTGTAGCAACAGCTGTGATCATGATGGAAGAAACAACTACATCCTCCTTTCCTCTGTGTCTTAGGGCTAGGGAAAATCCATATTACAGAAATGTAGTCCCAGTATACATTTACATGAAGGAAAGCAGTTACAGGTAGTCCTTGACTTACAACTGTTTGATTAGTAAAGATTCAAAATTACAATGCCATTGAAAAAAACTTACTTATAACCAGTCCTCATACTTACAACCATTGCATTGGCTCTACAGTTACAGGATTTAAATTCCAGCGCTTGGCAATTGGCATGTATTTACTACAGTTGCAGCATTTCAAGGTCACGTGATCTTCCCAACTGGCTTCCGACATGCAAAGTCAGTGGGGAAAGCTGGATTTGATTAATAACCACATGACTCACTTCACAACTGCAGGGATTCACTTAACAGCTATGGCAAAATAAAAAGTTAATAAAATCGGGTGTATCTCACTTAACAACTACTTTGCTTAACAATGGATATTCTGGTCCCAGTTTTGGTCGTAAGTCAAGGACTACCTATGTTTCCCTTCTAATAGAAGTCATCTTAAAACCCTTCATGGGTACAAAAGGGTTAAGCTACGTTTGTCAAGGAACATGAGCAGTAGATTTCATGATAGGGATTCAGTTTTTCTTCTTAAATGTGCTTAAAATGCAGTTGGTCTTCTATGGCTGAAACTAAGATGTGTCTCAGCAGAGGGTAAAATCACTCTGCCTTAAAAATTGTACAATTTAGATAAAATAAAAGATATTAAAACTCCCTCTCCCATCCTCACTCCCTCTTATCAATACTAGAATATTTAAAATACCTGCTGTTTATAGCTTGAGATGAATAAGATAGATTCTAGTATTACATTTCTGTAGCTCCATTTAATTATCAGGTCTTTCAGCCATGGCAGACTCTTAAGTTTTATAGATTTGGTTGAAACTTCAGTAGGGATTATATCTTAATAATTTCCTTCTGATGACAAACAAACATCCAAAAACTTACTGTTCTTGTGCTGAACTAACTTGTTTTGTTGTTTATTAGGGGGAGAATAATACTGTGTTCAAAGTCAGTAAAATGTGGTTTTTAATTTCAAGTTTCTTTCTAACTGAGAAAATTCTAATTTGCACCCATTTGTATTTTTGCATCTTTCTTAAAAAAAATAATGTGGCTGGAACAGCTTGTATGAATGAAGAGAGCAACAATCAGAAGCAGCAGCAGCAGCAGCAATCACAGCAACAACATGTCACAAACTGGCCTGGAAAACAAGTTGAGACTCTGAGACTATGGGAAGAAGCCGTTAAAGCAAGAAAGAAAGGTAAAAATGGATGGCAGCAGGCTGTTGGGAGTTCATCTTGCATATGTATAAATCAGTGTTTCTCAACCTTGGCAACTTGAAGATGTCTGGACTTCAACTCCCAGAATTCCCCAGCCAGCAAATGCTGGCTGGGGAATTCTGGGAGTTGAAGTCCAGACATCTTCAAGTTGCCAAGGTTGAGAAACACTGGTATAAATGACTGGTATATCCTGCAAGAAACATGGAGTCAATTCATACTCTGTAAATATGCATAAGAGCTACTTGATAATCTCTGGTGATTGTGGTGATCAGCCTGCTTGTCATAGATTTTTACTTCCTGATTATGTCAAGCAGTTACTTTATGAAAGCCAGGCCAGGAGATGTTGTGGCTTACCAGGTTGCCCATTGTTAATGTCAAAATTTTGATCTCTTGCCCTATTTTCAAGTTGGGAGCATGATTTCTTAGAGGATCTGGCTTTTCTTGTTACTTAATCAGTTTTGTGCATAACCGATACTTAAAATCCTAGCTGTCAATTTAAGTTGCTCATTGGCACTTCAGTCCGATACAAATAGGGCCATTTTACCACAGAATTTCCATAGAGGAAATTCTCTACAGTTTGAAGGAAGCCTGAACACTTAAACTGGTTTATAATTCTTCATAAGGGGGATAAATTGCAGTTTTCCTAAAACACTTTAATTTGGCTAGAAGACATCCAACCTCCATGATTCTTGAACTTGATGCCAGTCTTATTGCAGTTTTATAATGTTGCTTTAACTATTGTTTGTTCTTACAAATAAAATTTGCTAGGGTTCCCTTATGGTGACTTCTGTTGGTAGCATTTTGTTGCCTTTTTAGGACCCATTTGCTTTTAAGACAAGATGTTCAATAGAGATTAGAATGGGAAAGAACTAGAATTTCATATGGAATTGTGTGTTTGTGTATGCATGTATGTGTTTTTGTTCTCTTCATATCAAGGGAAGGGGAGAGTTATATGTGTTTTGATGGCTTACATAAAATAAGCAGTTTTTGTTGCTATAGCCATTTTTACAAAGCATCTAAGTCGGTGTTTAAAATAGCATTTATCTTTATTATATTGTATTAAATCGATATCACTTTTCATTGCAAAGAATCTCAAAACAAGTATAGTAGTATATATCCAGTGTCTACTATGCAGATTAGAGATCTGTAGCATTCTCCACCCTTTGAATTTGGTGCCTTGTTTTAATTTTTACCTTTTTAACAAGTCGATGGACTTGTTGTTTTACCAGTCTTAAGCTACACTGCTTTAGGAGTTGTATGGAAGGATATTACTGAGCCCAATATGTTTGTGTTAAATGTGACAAGGAAATGTGAATTCAGAAGGAACCGCCTGGCTTTTCTTCTCTGCACCACTCGCCCCTTCCCTTGATTGAAATTTAGAATTTTGAAGAAGCTTATAATAAACTTACATGAATAGATTTGAGTAACTTGCTTAGTCTTCTCTGAATGCTTTATTAAAAAGTTGAGATTGCTTGGTATGCTGAATCCATCAGTGAATGAATCCCTTCCATGTGGCAATCTTTAGAGCATCCACAAACATATAATCTCTTACCTTATGGCTTATTTTTGTTGCACGTTTAAACTGAAAATGTAACTGGACCACAGCCATCTGGTGAGTTCTATGGCCTGGAGTTTTGCAGTTCAAATCCAGTTTGCTTAAGTACACATGATGCACCATACTGAATTATAAGAGTTTCCATTCATTTTTCAAATTAGCTATGAATCTTAATTCTTCTAAATGTGTGTTTTCATTCTATTGCTGATGCATATGATGAGTTTTAGCAGCTTGGTCCCTGTTTTTCTCTGCATGCACAGCAGCAGTTTTCAGGAAGCTGGTATTGGAGCAGGAAGTAGAGCTGACCTACAGAATACTCAGCTCCCCGAGGAGCAGAACACATCTTCAACTTTTTTTAAAAAAGTGTGGTCCTTGGTGCTCTCTGAGCTTGGTTGCTTTCTTGCAGACGTTTAATTACCAACTAGTTAACATCATCAGACTCTAACTAAGCTCAGAAAAGCACCAAGGACCCCACAGTTCAGCCCTGACCTTCAAAAATTCTTTTTTAAGGAGAAAAATACTGGTGGTGGAAGAGAGCCTGGGATCCTGCAGATGATTGGCAGTGATCATTCCTCAAGATAGACCAAAACTCTACCGCATATAAGAAATGTTCTTTTATGTGGTTGCAGAATAAGCATTTGCGTAATTTCTGAAAATGAGAGAATTAATCACTGAAGGAATCCTAATGGAGGGTGCATGAAGAGAGCACAGAAGGGTGGTTGGAAAGCAGAAGGGGCATTATTAATTTTGCTAGATTCTGATTCCCTTGCGTGGAAGGCTCAGCAGTCTTACCTGTTGAATTGATATTGCACCTTTTCACCAGAAGATCAGGGCAGCATATATAGCACTCTCCTCCAACTACCAACCTGTGAGATGTATTAGACAGAGAGATAAGAGCTGGTACAAAGACACACAGTGAGCTAACATAGTTGTGGGTGACGTGTAAGTCCTAGTCCAGCAACCTAATGGCTACACCATATAGCTGTATGGTAAAATGCAACATCGTGTTACCTCTAAAAGTAGAACTGAATAGCTAAGGCAGAGATCAGTTGCAGCACGAACTGCTCAAAATCCAAGCAGTAAATCTGATTGCTGTCCCTGCTCTGGCTTCCTAGCACACAAGGGAGATGTTTGGCATCTTGAAGCTTATATACGTTACTGCTGTTGCTTTCCCTCTCGCTTTCAGATAAAATTCCTTCAGCACCACCTATTTCTACTGCTATTCCCCTGTAATGTGAAATGAATTTTTGGGTCCTGGTTTTGAGTTACTATATAGAGTACCATTATATATGCTCAGTATTCTAAGGAGCATATTTAAATGCTGCATTGGTCTTCTCATACAGTCGGGCTCATACAAGTATAACCAACTCAGAACTGTGGTACTGAAAAATAGTCTGCTCTGGCATTGTGAGATCAAAAAATAATTTCGATTTGGAACAACCATTGGAGAGGCCCTGCAGGTCAGGCTTGAAAGAACTATGCTGCATTGATCTTCTCATACAATCAGGCTCATGCCATGCATAACCAAATCAGAACTTGGTTGCTAAGCTCAGTTAATGCTTATTTTGAAAAGTTGTGTGTCTGTATGGGTGTGCTGTGAACCCAGGCTGTTTGGCTAGCTGCTCATTTGTTAAGAAAAATATTTAGAAAATGGGTTAATTTGGTAACTTGATTTAGTTGGCTGTGTGAATATAGCCTTTAAAACATACTAGGCATAAACACCTGACACCATGCCAGAATTTTAGAGCTAGATCTTTTAATCGTGCACATGCTCAAATACAATCTGTATGATGTTATGGGAAAGGGAAAACTAGAATTATGTATCATTGAATGGCTTAATTGCAACACCTTTCCTCCACCTCCCAATTTTGATTACAGAAAGTCAACACACTCTGAGGCCAACTTCGGTCAAGCAAGGTAGGGTCAGATACATTTATATAGCTTGTATTATAAGGTTGGACTTTCAGCTCTCCCCCTTGAAAGTATTTTGGGGTACAAGGTTGCAATTTCCATACTGAACATCATAATTGCTCAACACAATGAGAAGTACCCCGGGTCCTTCCCTTGCATTGCACCACCTGCATTCTCTTGGTCTTCGTAAATACATCCTGCTCTCTTACATGCACTGGAGTCAGTAGCCTAGGCCTCTCACAAAAACCATGTTGTTGCCACCTGGTAAATATGATCTAATGTACCCCAAATTGACATGGATGGCTTTTATTGTATGTTTATTGATTTAAGCTGAGATTCCCAATTGCCACTGGTTTTCCTAATACCAGAAGTTCTCCTCCCCCCCTCCCCAACTCCATGGGAATACGAGTATTTTATTGATAGCCAGCAGGTGGTGCTGATATATAAAAGTAGCTAACTTTACAGCTTCCAGTTGTCCCTAGCTCAAGTAGTGGCAGAGTGCCCTTGGTGTTATACAGTATGAGCCGAATTCTTTCTGTTTCCAGAGGGAATCCATTCTTAATCAAGGCTAAAGCTACCTGATTGGTGGGGTTTGCTGCACTCATCATATTGGCTGGGGTTTTACAATAACTAAAATAACTACACTGATTGAATGATTCCACGAGTTGTGGTTAAATTTATTTTAAAATGAAATAAAGCAGGTAATAGTGAAAATTAGCTTTGTGTATCGGTCCCTAATAATGACTTTTTAAAACCTTCACAGAATGTCAGTACAACTTTGAGAAGGCTATAGAGTACGTACCATTCGGTATGTACACTCTCTCTACTTATAATATTCCTCTTCAGAGGACTTTCTGCTAATACTGTGCTGCTTTAATGAACAAATCCCCCTCTTTTTATTACTAAAAATTGCCAGATGTCTTGAACACAGATGAATTGCATGACTGAAGATATTATAGGTTGTAGAATTAGTGTTTAATAATCACATTTCAGAGTATTCTGCTTGAGAATATTTGTTACTGTATAATGAACAGAAACTTAATATAAACTATTAAAGAACATAATATATTCATCGTTATTTTTTTTTAAAATGTAAAGTTTGCCAGTTTACCAGAATACATGAGACACAGGCTTCTTAACTTGTCTGCAAGCCCTTAATTGCTGATAAGCGTCTTGCATTGTGATTTGTATGTTTTTGCTATTGTGGCATAAGCTGTCAGCAAAATGGGCTAGAGTTGGAAAGGTCTAAAATGTCCAGTGGGAAAGGGGTTTGTAGATGAGAGAAGGCTGACTGGCACTGCAAAAGCTTGCATCAAAATCTATTCTAAGGACTGTCCTTTTGGTGTTTCGGAATCTTCTCTGCTCTGTCCATTTGTAAAGCCACAACTTTGGTGTCATCTCTTCTCTTGTTTTCTAGAAGCTGCCAACTTGTGCCAAACGTCCACTGCGGCCCCTACGCCTGTGACTCTCTCTACTCCCTTCAACATAACCTCCTCGGTGGCATCCGGGACGATCACCAACCCAGTCACCGTGGCTGCTGCAATGAATATGAGAAGCGCTGCCAATGTTTCGAGCGCAGTTAACATCTCCAGCCCAATGAGCTTAGGCCACCCTGTTACCATAACCAGCCCTTTGTCCATGACTTCTCCGTTAACACTCACCACACCTGTCAATTTACCAACTTCAGTTACTGCTCCAGTGAACATCGCACATCCAGTTACTATCACCTCACCAATGAATCTCCCAACACCAATGACATTAGCTGGCCCTTTAAATATAGCCATGAGACCTGTGGAAAGCATGCCTTTCCTTCCCCAGGCATTGCCAACCTCTCCCCCTTGGTAAAAAAAAAATCTAGAGCAAAAACTTCATGCAGTATTAAAAAGAAGAATAGAAAACAAGTCCTTAAGAGCAATTAACCTTTTTAAAGTTCATAGTAATGAAACCAGGCTAACTCATTTGATGCAGAAAAAAATCATGCTCCAGTTTAAAGGGAAAAAACACCATAATCCAATCCTTGTTCAGTTGGCTGGCTGTTGACTTATTTCTGGGGCTTTTTCTTTCCTTTAAACTGGCAATGATGGTTGAAGAAGATCAGATGAGAACTGAGCCCAGTTCCTAAACTTTTTTTTTGAAAAGTTATCATTAATGGTAACTGAGGAAATTGTAAATGAAACAAAAACCTCTTTATCTAAACACTAGAAGACTCCATATATGGAGATTTCAATAACTACGGTATGGAGATGAATCACTTAACTGGCCAGCTCTGTGACTCTCTGATTGAGAAAGTATTGTAGCGTTGTTGTTTTTTAAGTAAATACATTTCATGGTCCTATTTTTAAAAAAAATGCATTTTAAGTAATTATGCATTTTACCTTTTGGGAATATGATGATTTCAGGCCGAATTCCCTATGGGAAAAGTGATACCAACTCTGATATGCAAAGCATATGGTAACTTTTATCATTCTAACTTCTAAATAACAATAGGGATTATGACCTGGTATTTTGGAAATGTAAATAGTAAGTGACATATTACCCTAAGGGAATATAACCTAATAGTCAGCATATTAAAAAGAAGAAGAACTGTTTCATGTTTGGCAAGGAACAGCTGTGGCTGGTAGAATAGGATTTGAAATCTACGTGAATGCAGTCTAGTCGAAATCCAGCTGGGACTCTTTTATTATGGAGAGCATACAGAGAGCTTTGAAACATGGAAAAATGGCTTTAAGCTTGAAGACTGTGGAAGTGCTGGGTAGAACATGTGTCTATTCTCACTCTCTCAAGCAGAACCTGCTGATGTGACAAGAGAGCAGGTGGTGTTCGCTGAAATATTTTTTTTTGTCTTATATTATAAAATGGTATACAGTTTTTATTCTAACCACTAACTAGTTAGGATGCCCCTTCAGGACAAGCCAAGAGAGTGCATCTTATTATTTTGTGTTTCATTTTTTTACCTTTTTTGTTCCCCCCTTTAATCAAGTGTTGTGCAGATTTCTTCAACTTTGTAAATATTTGCAGAAGAAGCAACAACCATCATTTGTACTTTTAGTTAATTGTGTTAACAAATAGTTATTGATTTGTGGAGGTTTTTCCCATTAACTGACCTGTCCAGTGAAGGGAAATCCTCTCTTTCCCTGCCAAACAGTCCCATTAAAATACCCAAGAATACATCCTTTATTTTATCTGTACATAAAGTAGGATGGAAAATCTAGGGAAGCAATTTTTTTTAGGCTATCATGTCGCAGTCACTTTTTAATCTTTGTTTTTAAAGACGTACCCTATAGCCAAGACAGTATAAGAAATAATTGGAAGGGAAAAACTGAGGGGGCTTTTGCTCAGAGCAAGGATGCCAATCCAATAGCAATCAATATTTTCATTTAAAAAAAAATGGGATGCTGGCAAGCCTGAGAGGGTGGAAGTCTACTGTTTTTGTGTTTATACCCATCGTGTCAGTGTAAAAGCAACATATTTCGTATTTCTGAGGCAAATGTCTGGGGTTAGACTGATGTCCAGATTATGTGAAAATGGTTCTAGGGGCTTGGACTACATAGTAAAAATGGGGGAAAATAATAGAATTTAGTGTAAAATAATTTTATAAATGAACTTTTGTACCTTAGGACATCAAATTGTACAACTTTTGTATATATAAAAGCTTAGGAACTTCCTGTGTAGCAAAAAGAACACATTCCTACACTTTTAATGTATATGTTTGTTATAATGTCATGTAAACATACGCCCCATGTTTGTGCCTTTTAATTAGTTTGTCTCAATAAACAGAAATGTAGAGACTTTGTAGTTGAGTTGAGTGCATTACCCTAGAGTCTTCAAATTGCTACCCTGCTGCTTCCTTGACTCATAAAACTTCCTACATTTGAAATTTGTTCCTGAAGCATCTTAAGGATATGTTTTTTGGGGTGGAGGGCATAATTATTGTGTTAAATATCTATACTTTCTATCCCAATCCATAGAGAAAACGGATGCAAAGGACTTGGAACTACAATTTGTAAGTATGTACGTTGACAGTGCTAAGATGGATCTGTTTGAGAAACCTACAGCTTAAGATACTTGAAGGTACTTCTGGTGAGAATACACTTAAATACTCATTTCAGGTCAAGTTTTAAAACCGTTTTATGTGATGACCAAGCCTCGTTTTTGAAAAGCATTTTATATTTTGGGATGCTTTTTTCAACATTTATCCCTGTACATTGATTGTATCTATTTTTGACTACAGCTTATTTCCAAGGAAGATCGATAAATAGTCCAGTAGATTTGGACTATGTCTGCTTCAAAGACAGTTTGAAATGATAAAAATCATTAGCACTAAGCAAATCATGAAATGCCGGAGCTTTATTGCATTTTTAAAATAATAATAATGCAGTGAATGAAAACTCAAGAAGGGAAGGTTTGAAACTCAACAAATTGGATACTATGAGGATACAGATGCAAAATGGAAATGACTGATTAGCTAATTAGCAAAAAGAATTCAGAGTAATTTAAGGGAGGGCGATTGATGATGTGAATGAAACTTTCATTTGAAGTTATAGGTAAATAAGACTGTTCCATATGCAAATGTCAGGGTTTTGCGTAAGAAACTCCTGGAAGATTGTGCCTTTTATTGCTACTATATGGAGCAAATTGCTATCTGGAGTGTATCTCTGTCATCCTTGAATAGTACACTCCAAATGTGCTGGGACTACAGTTTCCATTGCTCTTCAGCTCCGAGTGATTTAAGTTAAGGATGCTGAGGACAGCAGGCACCAACACATCTGCACAAGCATTAAGATTATTAGCTTGGCGTTATTTACAGTACAGATTAATTGTGAATTAATTGTAAATCTAATTGTAAACAATGGATGGAAACTAAGCAAGGAGAAATTTCCTAACAGAACAATTAACCAGTGGAATGACTTGCCTTCAGAAGTTGTGGGTGCTCCAACACTGGAGGCTTTCAAGAACAGACTGGAGAGCCATTTCTCTGAAATCGCAGAATCTCTGCTTGAGCAGGGGGCTGGATTAGAAGACCTCCAAAGTCCTTTCCAACTCTGTTATCCTGTCATCTGTCTAAAGTGAAAAACCTAGTTACTGAATTAATCCATTTGGGGGGCTCACACCTACGAAGGGCTTGTACAATAAGCTAAGCAGCCCTCTTCCTCACAGACCATTTTGACACCGGTCCAGTTTACATGTTCACTGAATGGCATCCACCGCCCAGGTTAAGCAAGTTATGCGGCTTCCAGTTATACGTGGGAGTAAATTGTATTAACAAGTCAGGCATCTATACAACAGACTTTATAATGCACGTTAAGAAACTAGAGAGAACTAAATACTAACTTCTTCGGAACGGCTCAAATGACGGTGTGGCTTTGAGAAGAGCAGTTCTCCATAGTTGGTTTTCCAGTTACAATAAGGATGCTGCAGAGCAGGGGTGTCAAACTGAATTCTTTCGAGGACCGGATCAGCATTGTAGTTCTCCATGGATCAGCTGGAGTGGTGGGGGAGATGGGATGGACGCCTCCTGCAGCATTCTGCCAGCCGAAACTGAAGAGTGGCTGACAGTGCTGCAGGAGGCCGTCCCAGCTGAAAATGGGGCATGGGGTGGGGGCTGTGCATCCCTCCCCCCGTGCCCCATTTTGGCTGCCAGAGGCACCGAGGGCCAATCCTTTGCAATTTCCAAGCTGTCCCTGCAGGCCAGATTTAAGCACCCTGCGGGTTGGATCCGGCCCACTGGCCTTGAGTTTGACACCCTTGCTGCAGAGATACCAAAATGGGAATCTTGCTTGTCTGTCATGATGACCTCGAGGAATCAAATGGCAGATCTGAGATGCCAAATGTAGTGAATTGGCTTGATAAAGATGAGCGGGATAAAATACCACCAATACGCGGACGATACACAGCTGTATCTGTCCGCCCCGTGCCAACTCAGTGAAGCGGTTGAAGTGATGTGCCACTGCCTGGAGGCTGTTAGGGTCTGGATGGGAATGAACAAGTTTGCTCTCAATCCCGACAAGACCGAGTGGCTATTGATGCTCCCTCCCAAAGATGGTCCAGCTATTCCATCTCTCAGCCTGGGGGGGGTGTGTGAAATCATACGCCCCTCAGAGAGGGTTCGCAATTTGGGAGTCCTCCTGGATCCACAGCTGACTTTAGAACACCATCTGTCGGCTGAGACCAGGGGGAC